TGTATTAAAGATGGATAGTGATTAATATTTATGTTACTTATATGTAAGGGTGTAGGTCTGTACATATATTGTATATAGTATGTTTAAATGTTCGTTATGTATGTGTACACTTTGAGAGCAAACAACTAAATTTCATTTTTAATGTGTGCCATTGTGCCCACAGTAAAAAATGACAATAAAGGTTATCTATCTATCCACTATGATGACATGTATTTGTAATATAGTAGTCTGGTTTCTGAGGTATTTTTGAAGTATGACAGTGTTAGCCTTGCCACAGCTTGTGTTGATTGTGCTATATTGTATTGAATGGTTAGACATATTTTGATAAAGTTGCCTGAGAGAAGATAGTCTTTCTCTTGTTAATTAGGTTATTACTCAATTGTGTTCTATGTCCTCTCTTGCTCATTTTTGGAATACAGAAGCCCCGCTTACACAATGATTGACTAAAGATCAGCCTTCTTAAATATTTCACCACTCTACAGGAAGATAAGTACATTGAGAAACCATTACAAATAAGTTGGCTAAAGGACATGACATGAGTGGCGATCAGAGACTAAGTAATACAATTCTTACTACCGTATATACTCGAGTATAAGTTGACCCGAGTATAAGCCGAGGGACCTATTTTTCCACAAAGAACTGGGAAAAATTGGTGACCTGCATATAAGCCGAGGGGGCATTTTTCAGCACACACACGGTTGCGGGGAAGGCTGGAGGTGCGCCTTTCTTGGCCAGCCCAGGTAAATTCGGCTGTATTCTTCAATACGGGCCGGCCCCAGCAGTTCCGGCTGGTTGCTGGCAGTTGGCTGTTTCTCCCTGGCCGCCTCGGGTCCCCCCGGCCCTGTCAGTGAGCGCCCGGCAGGGCGCGTCGCCAGGCCTCCCCCCTTCGCACAAGGCTTCTGGCGTTCCCCCTCGCGCTTGGCTGCGGTGGCCCGGGGTATTCCGTCCTGGCCTCAACACGCAGCGCTGCAGGGAACGGAAGGTAAGGGGGGAGGGCCGTACCTGGAGCATCACAGGCCGGGGCAATGNATACTCGAGTATATACGGTATATCAAATAAAAATAACATTCTTACATTTATCAATAATTTTTAGCATATACATATCCTGGTTATTTTAATATTCAGTCTTTATAGACAATCAATGTCCTAATTAGTTTTTCCCAATTTTTAGTTTCCCATTAATATTTAAATTTAACATTTAATATTTATAATTTCCAAGTTTTAAGTAACCAAAGTTCTCTTTATCACAATTCATCACAAAGTCTAATATTCAGGATACACGTCTTATCTATTTGAATATATTCTATTTCTCACATTATCTAATTAATAATACAGTATAACATTCTTATTTTCTATTAATTTCCAAATGTCTTAAATTTAGTAACCAAAATTTCTCTTGTTTCAACATCAAATACTTCCTATCTTTTTCTCTTAATGTCTACTATCTCATATTTAAGCCAGTATAGTACTTATTATATCAGCTAAGTACAAACATGTTTATTACATTTATCAATAGATTTTTAGCTTATATATATCTTAGTTACTTTTACATTCAACCTTTATAAACAAATCAATATTCAAATTTAACTTTTAATAATTATACTTCCAATTTTTAAATGACCAAAGTTTTCTTTATCTCAGTTCATAACAAAATCTAGTATTCAAAGTACACATCTTGTCTATTTGAAATATATTCTATTTTAATCCTCACTAATAAGTCAAAACCCCAATTTTCTTCAGCCTTATTCTAGCTTTCTTTCTTTGCCAACTTGCCTTCCATATCTATGCTTTTAAATCATCAAATAGATCTCCCTCTTTTATTATATATCTTGTTTGAGATAAAAGAGGCCATCCAGTTGCCATTTTTTTAGAAAGGCTAACAAATCGTCTCTATTTTTCCATCTTGACATAATTGTACTGAAATGTTTATCTTCCCTTCAGTCTGTTCTTCTTCTTGATCCTCAGGTTTCTTCTGGTTTATATAGAAAGTCCTTTCCATTTCCAATGTTGTCAGTCCTTTTTCTGGGTTTTCTGTTAACTGTGCTTGTTGATCAGTTGAGTCTTCTATCATAGTATTTGATTGTTCCACTTCTTCTATTATATTCTGTGTAGTTGATTCTTTAGTTGTAATCAAAGTTTGTTTTCATATATCTAGGCTGGCTTCTTGTTCTTTTCTGTAGCTTCTTATTTCATCAGTAGCTGTCAGAATAGTTTCATAAATTGCTTTCAACATAAAGAGAATCTGTTCCTGATCTTCATCCATGTTCTCTTAGTGGTGTGTTAAATTAAAAGCTTTACAATCAGACAATGAAAATAATTTTGTCACTGAGGATAGAACACAGCTGGGCTTCTCACAGCTGATATCTGCCAAGCTTGCAAAAGTCTTATCTATAGTCTGGACTTCAAGCCAAGTCTGTTTTAGACAATAACAAGTTGTAATATCAGGTTTAGCCACAAGATGTCGCCCATACCGTTTAAGATTTTTTTAAGTCCAAAATTTTTATAATCCTTTACCCAATTTTAGTTCTTTTTGGTAAGTAAAAACCCAAATCTTCAATACGAATAAGAAATCTTTTAGTCCTCAAATTTTAGAAAGATAGAAATCCAGTTAGAATCAGGTTATTCTTTCAGCATTTTAAATTCCCCTGGATAGTCAGTTGCCCCTGTTTTTAGAGGGTGGGATAGAATTTCCCTTCCCTCTCTCCACAGGGGGAAAATACTTTGGGCAGCTTATACAGGTAGAAAAAATAGGATTGAAGAGAGGTTCAGATCTCACCCAGTCTCATCCGTGCTGCTTTATAGGTGCCTGGTAATAAGTTTGACTTCAGTTGTCCGCAGCCTAGTGATGGGCCATATTTCTATGGCCGGTTTTTCGTCCGCCAGTTTGAAGGGCTACCACCCGCCCACGATCAAGCGGGGATCCCCTCGCTTGCCCCTACAGAGCGACTTTTGACCCTTTCCAGGGTCCGCCAGCGGTGCGAAATCAGACGTGGAAGATGGAGCTTGCCTTCCAGCGGCCGCGGCAGCCATGTCAGCAAACTGGAAGTCTCAACATTTAGCATTTTATAAGAAGCTGAAAATGCAGGGACAATAAAACTGCTAAACCTGTACTGTCATCATTTTTATTTTACCCATACATTGCTGGATGGGTGATCTTGGCCAGTCACACTGCCTCAGCCCACTCAGGATAGTTGTGAGGAAAATAAGATGAGGAAGGATTATTAGGTATGCCTGCCATCTTGAGTTAGTTCTAAAACTAATAAAAGCAGGATAGAAATAAACGTGCAAATAGCTAGTTTTTCTCATCCATCCATCAGTTTAATCTATCAATTTTAGAAAACTTCATTGTGTTCACGCATTTCTGAAATGTTTACTATTTCTCCTGATAGGAAGGTTGGCTTTGCATAAGTTCAAAGTTCCCCAAATAATAATGGATGAATTAATTTAATTATTCCTTATTTGCAGGCACAATATGGACTCAGAATATTGTGAGCCTGATTCTTCATGAAGGTCATCGAGATGAAACTGAAAATATTACCCTGATTGACCGAGCACCCTGGCTGGAGTATAATATTTTGAATGTAGATTTTCCCAGTTGCCCATCACCTCGTCTCTTTAGTTCCCATCTGCCCTACTATTTGGTACCCAAAGGATTACGAAGTAGAAGAGCAAAAGTAGGATATATTTTGCTAACTTGTGAGGTGGTGTGGGGAACTGTCTGTCTTCTGTTCTATTAGCTCTGTACCTGAATGTTTTATTAACAAATAGGCAAAGGGCACACAAACATATATTACATTGTTCCAATATGTTTGGTGGACACTAACAAGTTTTGAAAGGTGAGGAAAATAAACACAAACAAAACCGTGTTAATATCAGAATATCATGCCCTGGAGAAATAGCTAAGAACCGAACTGAATATCGACCAACTTAAGCTTATTTTTCCAGATGGATTGCAACACTTTGTGTTGCATGGCCATTTGCTATCTTAACATATCTGAACACTGTCAAGTTGAGGAATGCCATCTCTAGCCCTCAAATGCCTTCCCACAATCCCTACTCTCAGTCACTCATGCCCTAGTCACCAGAGGTTTCAGCTGGTGCAAAATGCAGCAGCATGAGCACTTGTGTGATCTCGTAAGAACTTCATACATTACACCTCTGCTTTGGAAACTGCAGTGGCTACCAGTTTGGTTCAGGATTCAAGATGCTGGTTATGACCTTTAAACCCCATCATGAGGCGGGAACATGTAATTTGAAGGACCTCCCCTAGTTGCAGCTACATATCACATCAAGTCCAACAGGAAAGGCATGTTGGGGTCCCATCTGCTAGGGAAATTTGTCAGGCAGGACCTAGGAGGAAAGACTTTTCTGTGGTCTCTGCCATATGGAAAATCATTCTCCCCAAGTTGAGGCTGGCCCCAATCCTGTTGGCCTGCTGGAAGTTCCCCAAACATGGTTTTACTAATAAGCTTTGAGGTCCCATGATATAATGGAGCCTGTTAGATGAGTGTATGACAGATACTTGATGCACTCTATGTATGCTTTGCTATCAATCTGTCATCTTTCTCTTACAGATTATTTATGTGCTTAGAAATCCAAAGGACGTCATGGTTTCTAACTATTATTTTCACAAACTGTCAGTCAAAGTAGAAACCCCAAAAGACTTCAGTACTTTCTTTGAGAAGTTTTTGGCTGGAAAAGGTAAGAAGTCCTTCATCATGACAACGTTATGTCAGTTTTTGTTTTGGATAAGAGATTATGAATATATTTCTATCTGCTTCCCACAAAGAACAAACAACCCACACACTTTCCTAACACAAGTAACAAATAATGATTCTCTATACTCAAGCAGTAATTTGTGCAAACTCTATGAAAACAGTTTATAATGAGTGAAGAAGAATGCAGGATGCCTAGGACAACTCATGAAGTAAAAATGGGTAGGAGAGGCAAGCGAATGGAGCTTATTACAGTAGAGAGACTAGTAATACTAAGTCAAATAATATTAGTAATACTAAGATATATTTAATATATTTGGTGGTTTAAAATCAGGATTTGAATGGGTTGGAATTAGTGGGCCATGAATTGTTTGCAACTGGACCATGGAAATGGCAGGCAAGCACACACGTGTGCGCATCCCCTCTACAAATGCAGCTGCATACATGCTCGTACTTGCTGGCTGCTCACACAGAACCATCCCCTCTTCTCCCCTGCCAGTTGGGGTCAAAGCCAGAAAAGTTAGGTAACTCTGAGTTAAAGAACCAAATACTCACATGAAATCACATAGAAAGTGTTTTAAGAGTTGGAAACAGAAATAACTAACCGGAGTAAGTCTGATATTTGAAGAAGTATAACAAAAATTAAAGCAGATTACCCCAAAGTTTCAAATAAGAAAAAGCAAAGAAATGAAACAATATAGCAGCAAGTTGACAAAAAAAAACCCTTAACAAGTTGGAGTATGCAACCATGTTAGTTATGGCTCCCATTCCTTCTCTCTCCTCTCCACATTCAGTGATATTAGGATAGCCCCTATTTGCTTTGATCTGTAGGCCCACCAGGATCATAAGGATAAATGAGGATAAATGGAGGAAATTCAAGCATTAAGAATGTATCCCTTAGACAGATGGTCAGCTGGATCATTGCAGCCCTGAGCTGAACAACTGAACTCAGTGATTTCCAGACTGCCATCATGTTTATGCTAAATTCATTTCTCTCCTATCAGTGTTTTGTAGTTCGTGGCTAGACCATGTAGAAGGCTGGTATGCTCATAAGGGTGATTTCAATATTCTCTTCCTTTCTTATGAAGAAATGAAAAAGGTAAGATGTGTTTGTGTTGTGAAGTGCAAATATGAACAACCATTAAGCACAGAAAGCTTTAGAAATGATGTGAAGTGTGTGAATAACTTATTCCAATAGGGAGTAACAGAAGTGATCACAGAACCACT